TTCCAGCCCCCATTGAGAATGAGGTTTTTTACTTGTAAATGAGAACAATTCAAAAGAATTTTTCCTATAGAATGAGTGCCCAACATATCCATGATTGATCTACCATTGCACCAAGGGTCACAAAGGAGAGAAAAAGAGCTGTTATCATGAACTGTAAGAGTTAAGAAATGTTTAATTTTATTTGCAACATAATACACAAAATTCTAGTAAACAGAGGCACATTTAATGCAAGTGATCTAAAAGGAATAATATTTAGATCTCACCGTTGAAATATAAGGCCGTCCGATTTGAAAAATCTCCAAATAAGGAGCCAAAAGCATGATAAAGAGTTTCAATGGTTGTGATGCCATTTCCCCCACAAACCTTGGGCTTACATGTGTCATTCCAAGCAATCATGTGATATTTTCTTTGAGTAATGACACCAAATTAAAGGAATCTAGAGTAAATTCTATTAATAAATTTCCTATAAGCTTTTAGAATAATGTATCCCATAATCCAATAGGCCAAGGAGTTACATATAATAAATTTTAAATATTGAATTCTACTAGCAAATGAAAGGGATTTTACCTTCCAACCATCCAAAGTAGATTGGTGTAGTCTTTTAGTAAAATTTGTAAGCCAATGTATTTGATGGGTCTTTTGGAAGAAGAAACATTGAGGATATTGCAAATGTTGGACTCCTCCACCTAATGATTTGGGAAAATAATAGTGCTTTTATTGGTGTTAATATGAAGGCCTGAAGATGCAACAAAATGATGCAGACGATCCTTAAGAGCATAAGCATTCTCCAAAATGGCATTATCAAACACAAGTATGTCGTCAGTATATAAAAGGTGAGGGATATAATTGTTACTCATTGACATCCCATGGAAGGAGTTGTTATATACAACTTCCTCAGAGCAGGTCGAAAGGCCATCCATAACAATTCTAAAGATGTAAGGGGAATGAGGGCATCCCTGTTTGAGTCCAGAAGAAGAATTAAAGAAACCTTTAAGGGTGCCATTTATGGAAATAGATAAGTAAATATCCAAAATACAAAGCTTAATCTAGGAAACAAAGGCTGCGGGGATGCCTTTAGCAAGAAGACGCTCAAGTAGAAAATCCCTTGAAACAGTGTCGAAGGCTTTGTGAATATCAAATTTTGCATAGTTTAATTTGTTCTGGCCCTAAAGTTGAAGTTTCCTAAGAGATCAATAATAAAAAGGATATTCTGAAATAATCATGTTGTTAATAAATCCAGCTTGGCTCGAATGTATAATAAAAGGCATGACATCTTTCATCCTATTGGCATGGATCTTAGCAACAACTTTATAAAAATAATTGCAAAAGGGAAATTGGCCTGTAGTTAGAAATGTTGGAAGTATGGGGATGTTTGGGAATTAAAGCAATAATAGTTGCTTTAGCTTGCTTAGGCATAAAGGCAAAAGAGAAATAAGTCATCACAATATCACAGACTTGCCTACCAATGGTGTTCCAAGTAATTTTATAAAATTCAAAACTATAACTTTCCAGGCTAAGAGTAGAGCAAGAGGGGGAGGAGAATATAATACCTTTAATTTCTTCCACAAAAATAGGAGCCACTAAAGCATGAATAAGGTGGTGTGGAATCATATTGCTAATAGAAATGGGGTTGCTATCAATGTGGGTAGGATTAGGAGTATTGAATAGCATCTTGAAGTGTTGAACAATAGCGCTGTTAATGTCATGAGGGGATGTAAAGATGCCATCAGAAGAAGTAATGGCTTTGATCAAATTGGAATTATATCTAGAGTTGATTCTAGAATAGAGGAAATTCATATCATCCTCCCCACATGAAACCCAATTTACTTTGGTTCTTTTGGTAATCCAGTCTTACTAATAGTAATTATGATTGGATTGCTTAAGGTTGATGGTTTTTAAAGTAGCATTTAACCTTGGGTTAGTGGGGTTGCTCCGAATTTGGGCAAGGAAATAGTTTTGTGAGCTTGTGAGATTTTCAATATTCTACTTGAGAACTTTGGAAGAGACCCAAGTCTTGGTTTTAATGCATCTTTTAAGAGTCTTAAGCTTATGGTAGAAGGAACATATTGGGATGCCATGAGAGTGCTGAGAGAAGGCACTAAGAAGACACTCCCAAAATTTAGGACACTTGGACCAATAGTTTTTGTAAGGAAATTTATGGGTTTTATGTGAGGCACCCATTGATAGCAAGTTGATAGGGGAATGGTCAGAAATTTGTGGATATATAACATTATAGAAAGAACTAGGGAAAAATTCTAGCAAAGTGTCATTAATCAGAACTCTATCAAGTTGGATGTGATCGGGTTGCCAATTATATGATTATACCATGTAAAGAAGTGCCCAACAGAAGATAGCTCATGAGCACCAATATTGAAAATCATGTTATTGAAGTCACCTAGTTTGCTAATGAGAAAAGGACATCCACTAGCCTTTTCATTAGCAAATCTACAACAATTAAAGTCCACTAAAATTGCCCAAGGGATGGTAATGTTCACAGTCAAATCCGATATTTGTTTCCAAAGGAGCTATTTATCCTCAAAGGAGTTAAAGGCATAAACCACTGAAATAAACAAATAGTAGTGGGACCAGAAGAAATAATCCATGAATCAGCTGGCCAAAGGTGAATAAAGGCCTAAAATTCACTCTTATATCATTCTATTTCATCCAGATTTGACTAGGACTAGAGAATGAGAGGTTATCAAAAGAAGCCTCATTACTAAAGATAGCATGAGAAGAGAGAAACCAGTGATCAAAGACGGACTGGGAAGAGACTTTTGCTTGCAAAATAAACATCAAATCCAAGTTATTCCTACTAACAAACTACTTGCAACATAAAATCTTGTCCGGGCTATTAAAACCATGCATGTTCCAAGTTGCCATGAGAGGAAAGGTCATTGAGACTTGGATGTGAGGGTGGATGCCTTCTTGGCATTTTTGGCTCTGGTGGTTTTGTAACTCTGACTTGGGGTTGTAGGATATGGCTTTTAGCATTGTTGTGTTCAGATGGTTAATGATTCTAGAGTTGAAGAGTATGTTCAGCTTGTTTGTGAGGGTTTTGATTATTTATAGCAATTGGGTCATTATGTCTGGTAGGCGTGGGGTCAAAAGATTCTTGCCATTCTAAAAGAGCAGATTATTTGATTTTGGTGGTTAGGGAAGGGGGTTGAGAGTGGAGAGTTCCTATAAGGGTATTGGCGGGTGAAATGTAATACGAGGTAAGAGGGACTTCTTTTCAGGGAGCGTTCAGATTTGGGAGTAAGATTTGGTTGGGGGTGGAGGTGCAGGTGTTTGGAGTAAGTGGCTATGCTTTTGATGCTTTCCAAAAAAGAAAAAAAAAACTCTCACGACAGATTCACGAGTTGGTATTGTTTATTCACAAGTTTTACAGTGTATTCATATAGGAGCCAACTTTTGGAGCTATAAATAGCATTCCATGCGAGCAGATATTCATCAAGGAATTAAATTCTTTGAGCTTGCTTAGATTGTTTTTTTGGAAGCAATTTTAATTATAAAAACAATTATTTATTATCTAAATTATCATTTTAATTTTCTATACTAATTTCTTTATTTTTTTTTTTTTAATTTTTGGATGTAACTCTATTTTGGCCAGCTAAAAATTTATCATTATGAGTTACAAGTTTAATATGTAGTTCATCTTGATCTGTTGGTTGAGAGCTTTGACTACCAACCAATAAGTCTTGAGTTCGAGTCTTATGTTATGTATTGCATGTATGAATTTGATTTAATTAATCTTCACCCCCAGCCCACCCCTGCTCACGAAAAATAAAAGTTAGCTTCAAGTTTGCTCTTTATAGTTACAGAACTAACCGTTTAAACTAAGAAAATTTTAGCTGTAAAGCCTGTAATGTAGAGAAGTAATGAAGAAATTTTGTTAAACTAATGCATGCTGTTGTAAAGCAAACACTGCTTCTTATGCTAGGTAGTTCATAACCTCGCTAGGACCTTCGGCAAAAAAAGCTTTCTAAAGTCATCAATGATATATTTTAATTGTATATTTGCTACACAAATCTAAGGAATTATATTTGCTATACTCATTTGAGGCAGTTTTTTACTGCTTTATTTTTTAGATTGTAATCATAATTTTTGTTTGATCATTATTTTTTTTATTGCTTTAAAAAAAAAATTTATAATAGGAAATTATTTTCTGCTATAGTTTTTAAAAAGTACTTTTTATGCAATGTCTTTACAAAACAAGAAGAAAGCTGTCCCAAATGAAACTGAAATCTCTAGTGAAATATATGAAAGATGATGACATGGGAGAGAGGAGCGCTACAAAAAGCTTTCAATTTTGAGATATATTTATTAGGTGTGTCAAAAGGGATTGTCTGTTTGGATTCAAATTTGATCTTAGGATTGACTTGCTTAGAACCCATTTGACCCCCATTTAGTAAACCGGTAAAATTCATGAATCCAATCGCCTCAACTAGTTTGACTCGACCCGATAACATGTTTAGATAAAAAAAATTGCACAACAAACTAAAAAACCAATAAACAAAAGAATTTAAAGAATTTAAGCAAAGTGAAATTATAATTACAACTTTTAGAACTAGTTTGAATTTTTTCACTATATTATAATCAAGATTCAATTAATCTAAATTTTAATTCTTATATAACATTTTTATATTGGTATCAAAATTTTCAATTCATAATTTGTAGGTTAAAATTTGATTATTTTCAAGTTGGTGGGTCGACTTGACACTACCCGTTTATTAGATAGGTCAATCCCAATTTTAATTTTTTTGCATCATATTCTCATAGGAATATATGTCCATATCTTTTATTAATAGTCCTAATCTATAAAATAATCTATATATATTTGAAAATGAGATATCCATTCGCTGCCAACTCAAAAGGATGCTAGACGGCATTACAAATTCTCAGTTGACTTAGAAGAGACACTCAGCCTAAAAATTTTGATTTGGCCTCACTTAAAAGTTGCGCATGAGTAGAATGGAGCACGCATCAAACTAATATTTAAATCATATATATATATAGTAGCGGACCGTACACGCCACCGACAAGGCGGCTGCCTGCCTGCCTCTATCCGGAAAAAATAACGAGAATGGCCGCGACGTCGCTGCTGGCTGAAAATCCAATAGCCCAACATGAACGATGCAATCAGCAAGAGCAAATCGCCGGCGATTGGTATTCAGTACCAGATCTTAGCCTCCGCGACAACCGCTTCAACGTACCCCTCGACTACTCTGATCCCAACTCCGCCAAGATTACAGTCTTCGCGCGCGAAGTCGTCGCAGGTAACACCTAGTAAAATGGAAATAAGATTTTTTGGCGTTTTACTTCTATGGGGAAATTACAATGATCTTAGCAGTAAGGTGAAACCGATTACTTTTATGTTGAACGATTTGCAGATAGATCACCCTTTATTTGGGTGGTAGTTTGGATTGAAATTAAAGAAGTGGGTGATTCGCACTATTTCCGCTTGAATTTTTGAAAATTTTATTTTTGACCTTTTGGCTGATTTATGTTTTCTGCGCGCTCGTTGCCTACCATTATTGTTATATAATTATATGTGGCATTTATTGGAATTGATAATCTTTTAGACATCTGATACAATTCTAGTTTGTGAAGCGATATATCATCAAAAAAATTATCCTGATGTGGCATGAATCTCGATGCAAAATCAAGTTGAAAACTTTTGAAATTAAATCTGGGACCATTCAAACTCTGATTTCAGCAAGCTTACAGTCGAATTGAACGTCTCAAAAATTTGAACCCACAACACCAAATTTGACTCAATTTGAGCCTAAATGTGTCCAAATCGAAGATCCGAAGTGCATTTGGAAAGTTCAAATCATAAATTGGATGATCAAACGATTTCCAAACGTGACATGCTTATAGTCGAATCGAGCGGCTTGACGATACCATCAAATGAGCCCAAGATTGCCGGATTCTGATATAAATAAGTCATTCAAATGCCTAGTAAACGGTCAACGATCAAGGGGATTAACATCGGCCGTCCATTAAAACCACTTCCAACTTATCCTTGATCTCCCTCCTATTTATTGGCTATACCACTCTCAGAAAAATATAAATAGACACCTTATTCCGCATGGAGGGGGACTCAAGTAAGTAAGAGAGAGAAACTAAAATTCTGTTGCCACCGGACTCCTCAACCATCGTCGTATTTTCGCCCGACCACTGATTGATGCCAGACTTCTACCTGGTCACCGACTGACGCTAGACTTCTGTCTTATTATCAACAGACGTCAGACTTTCGTCTGGCCACCGATTGACGCTAGACTTCCTCTTGACCACTGACTGACACCAAGCTTCCGCACTGCTTCCAACTGACACTGGATTTTCGTTCGACTATCGAAGGTCGCCTGATTTCTGTATGATCTATGTTCATCACTAGATTTTAACCTGACGGTTGATTGTTGTAATCTGATCATCCTCAATAGGACGGATCAATCATTTATAATCCATTCAAATAACTGTGGAATCATTTTAACTGAGTGTGACCCCGTGATTTTTCCATTCTTTAGGGTTTTCTACTTAAAAAATCACTTGTTTTTTAATTCTCTGTTTGTGTGTTGAATATCCGTACAATGCTGAGACGAAATTTCTAACTCTATCGCTGCGTATATTCTAGCCCACAACATGATGAATCATAGATCATTGTCATCTCTATATTGATTTTATTATTTTCTTCATATATACTGATATTGGATTTTATTTTGCTCCTTACTTTAAGTCAGCTTATCAATTTTTTATTCCTCTTACATATAGATTTCTGCTTGAATTTTCGTTATTAGCTTATTTTCCTGCATATTGAATGTTAAAGCAAAGAAATTGTTCTGGGAGTCGGGTGGTTTAGTTGTTGGAAAAAGAGACTAATTTTAGTGAACGACAGGCAGCAGCTTTTGCTATTTTGCATATCTAAATGTTTTATGTGGCATTAAAACTGGTTTTAGGCTTGCTATTTTTGAGACGGAAACTTTTCGCTCCAATTGGCTGGTTGAGGGGATAGTATCAACTTTGCGATCTACGGGAATCAGAGAGCGTAAGATTTCCTTCAAGTGGCTATAAACTCCAACAAAAACAGGAAAAAAATATTAAAATTTTCAGGAAACTTCTCATTCTTTATTATTACAAAGCAACAGTTTTATAGTTACAAGATCAGGGATGTCATCCATGTTGTTTCCTTGCAAAGACATCAAATCATTATGTAATTGACTACTTGTTTGCTAACAAATTCCTAACTGAGACAGTTCAGTTGTAACTGACTAACAACTAACTTCTGCACATTTCACTGAATTGCTAGCTTATCCTGAAATCCTTCAACTTATTTTTTCCACGTCACTGTATCCCTGAGTACCTCATCTTTTGTTTAGTTTGCTATGATTCTGCTGCTGCTTCTTCTTCATCCTGCAATTAACTTTTTGTTTCTATTAGGAGACTGTGTAAGACCTCCATTGCCTTCAAGAACAAGCTTATCCTCAAGGTTGAGAGTAGGATATAAATGGCATAATGAACTAAAAATATTTTAGGTAGTGATTGGGAAACTTTTTATACTCAACAAACTTGAAATATTTTGTATTTGAGCACGGCATAAAAATAATATACTATTATGAAAGAAAAAAATGTTATTTCGCTATGGACTCGATAACAAAAATTTTATTAGAAGATTGTGGGACCTTCAATATTTTATGGTACAGAATGTTGACCATTAAAAGAGAAACATAAGCTTAAGTTAAGTTTTGTGGAGATAAGGATGCTCAGGTGGACGAGTGGTTTTATACTTAAAGACATAATGCCAAATGAGTATATACATGAAGGGTTGGAGTAGCCCTTGTGGTAGATAAGACTAAAGAGAGTCGTCTTAGATGGGTTGGTCACATAAATTGTTGGTCTTCCAATGATCCGGTTAGGAGAGTAGATGTATTAGATTCAGCTTATATTAAAAAATATAGAGAATGACCTAAAAAAGACTGGTTAGAAAATATTAAAAATGACTTTTTTTATTAGATTTAAATGAGAATTTGTCTCTTAATAGGACACACTGGAGAAATGATTCATGTACCTGACCCAATGTAGTGGGATAAAGGATTGCTGTTATTATTATTGTTGTATGGATTGGATAACAAAAAGTGTATTTTATTTTTATATGCTTAGATATTTTCCCGCATACAATATATTTGATTGAATATAGTTTATTTTTATTATGGGTGTAGGTTCCCTATAAGAGCAAGCCCGTTTATATTTCAACAATATAATATCAAGGAAATACCCAAAAAGATGAGGACTTATAATGCAACTAAAATAAACATTAACCTTGGACCTTAGATTTAGGGTGAGAAACGTCGACATGTATTAACTCGAACCTAAATCCATCGAAATGTAGGAGACTTATGAACTTAAAATCTCACTTGAGTTTAAGTTAGCCCGACCTCTAGTCTTACAATCATGTTTGGAAAGAACAAGCCAACTAAACTCACCTAAGTGCTTTTAAAACCATACAATTTTTGTTTCAATGCATATATAAGATTAACTAGGCTATTTTGATTTTAAGAATGAGAATTTATAGCTTATTGATAGGAAATACTTGAGTTCGCAAGTAATCCTTACTGAAATACTTGAGTTCGCAAGCAACCCTAACAATAAATTGGTAAAAAAAAGAAAGAACACAAGACGATAATGAAAGCAACCCAAAATGGTAAATTTTATTAGATAAAATCAAAGCAAAACATACACTAGCAAAGATACAATTGATCCTCTATTTGAGAGGAGGATTGTTCTCTCCCAATCTTTAGACACTAGGTCTAGAGCCCAAAACCCCCAAGATACTCCAAGAGAAAGCTATACATAAGCATCCCTAGTGGCGGAGCCAGGATTTTTTTTCACCGGGGGCATAAAATTTTGACTTTAAAAATACCATCAATTTCTTTTTCATGTTAGCTTGAAATTGATGTTAGGATTTTAATTTTTTTATTATTTTTTAATTATAAGAAGATAAAATTTATGATAATGAAAAAAACTTAATATTAATCATGTTCATCTAGATTAAATTTAACACAAATTTATTTAAACTATATATTATCATACTAATTTATTTCAACTACTCTTCTACCGTATATTTTCATATATAATTTAAATAAAAATATAACAAAAAAATATTTTACAACGAGCAATAAACATATAAAAAATGAAGCCTAAGATGATATAATACCCAAAGTTTGTTAAAAGTAAGTAGGAATATTTCTTAATAAAATCATTCATTATTTTTTTTCATATATGGAAATGTGAAATTATTTTATTAGCTTTTAATTTTAATTTTGATCCTTATAGTATAATTATCTGTATTCATGTCAAAGGCATGTTATCATTTAAATGAGTTTGTTCTAAACACTTAAGTAAAAGTATTAGCTGTAATAATACTTGGCATTAATTTAAATGAATGGTTTAATTGCTAAAGCAAATAATTCATTTTCTCATTTACGGTTAGTGTAGCATATCCACTTAACTTGGCATGCAATGGCTGATCCCTCTCATACTTCATCCAACGGATAGCATTAATGTATAGTGGCTTAGTGGAATTAATTATATAATATTATAATAAAGAATGTATTCTTTGTGAAATGGTTATATTATTATATTAACAACATCTGTAGCCATTCTTTCATTTTATTTTTTTCTTCCCATTCAGGAGACGAAGCTCTGCAAGCTGTGGGAGAACTGGAGCTGAAAGAGACGGGTTGTGTGTGTGGGAAGTTCAAGTTTGGTAGCTGATTTATCAGGTAATGAAATTGAGGTGGGAGTTTTAAGCTTTCAGAAATCTGAGATAGCAATTTCTGTAATCTTTGTGTTGAATTACAATTTTGGAATTCTAAAATATAGCTGAAGTTGGTGGTTGCTTAATTCAAGAATATGGAGAAATGAACTGGTACAGTGGTGATCGAAATTTGAAAAAGGTGTTGTGTTGAATGAGGAAGTTTAGTAAAGGTTGTTTACAAAAGGAAAAGAAAGTAGAGTTTAGGAGAACCAATTCCTCACGAGGTGAGATACCCAAACAAGGTTATAAGAATTAATAAATATTTTATTATGTCACTTCATCTTGATTATGTTTATAATCACATGTATTTTAGTTTATTTGGGTTATTTTGTATGAATATGATTGTTTATGTAAAGGATAATCTTTAACAATGTTAATGATTTTGTAAGGATAAAAGGATAAATATTCATAAACAAATAAATGAGTAAAAAGCACACCTAAAGTGCACCAAAGCGCACCTAA